TATCATCATGACAATCATGCATTTTCCTGTAACGAATGATAGTAAAAGAACAACATCATTCATTAGTCTTTTTCCAACTAAAAATCCAATAGTAACTCGTAAATGATTATATACTTAGGCATACCAAAAGTAGTGGCGCCAATATCTCAATTTCTTACAGACCGCATGAGAAAATTTTCTTTTTTTTTATGAACATATAGAGCGTCTTTCGCTCTATTTTTCTATGCTATTTGATCACTATTCAATTAGTATCATAATATTAAAATTTTGATAAGAACTATTTTTGTGTACAACTTCACTAATATGTCAGGCAGATTATATGGCCACACTGTGCATTTTTTTGGATTTCAATTTTCGATCACTTGATAGGTTTTATTAAAAAAGAAGATATACCACTCGATACAGCGAGAAAAGCTCTACAATTTTTCAAGAACAGCTTATTTTATATTTCAGATAAAAAACAAGAAATTTTTCTTCATATAGCAAAAGATGATTTTTTTCGGGATAGTTGGAGACAATTTTACTTGTTTTTGGAAACAGGAAGTACGCAATTAAAATAAGAGATCTTATGCAAATTGTAGCCCTTGTCACGTTGCATTTTTTAATGTATTTTGTTTTTTTTTAATAAAAGATACCAGGTGATACAAGGATGAAATAAGAAAAAATCAATTGATCTTGTAGCAGAAAATATATCGTTTTTGCAAGGTCGAAAATTGATCGCTCAAAATCTTGCTCATTATAATAACAAAAAGTGCAACTATAAAATAGGCGATCTTATGTAAATTGTAGAGCTTTTCACGCTGCATCTAGTGGTATATTTTATTTTTCTGATACAACCTGTAGCCATTTAGTGGGCCTCACATATTGATGAAGTTGTACACAAGGGTGTGGGTGTGAGTGTGGATGTCGATTCAATATTAAACCCACAACAAGTTGCACACCAACACCTACACCCACACCCTTCACGTAATTTACGATTTATAATAATAACTATTGTGAATTATTGCATAGACTGCCTTATAGAGACTGATTATATACTCTCCGAAACACGACTATAGAATATGACTTTCGTTCGTACACTATCGATGTAGGCAAGTATGGCTTGTTAATAGAAGAGATTCGAATTACAGAAAAAATATTCTTTTAGTTATGCATGTACTTGAATTTAGTGATCACGGATTTACATTTACAAAGATTATTAAATCCAACAAAAATTTTACTAAGTTTGCAAATTAAAAATTTAAATTCTTTTGAATTTAAATTTACGAAATTTATTTTTTTAAAATTTTTGATCCCATTTATATGGAATCAAATTCATTTTAATTGAGTATTTAAACTTATAAAAAATAAAATTTTGCAAATTTGAACTTTTAAAAGTTAAATTTAAAATAAATTGACGAAAAAATGACACACTTATTTGAACAGAAGCAGCAAAATGAATATCATTTTTCATCATTCATTCAGACGTAAAACAAAATTTATTCGAATCATACATTTGTACGAAACATCTACATAAGAATAGAATAAACACTTATATCATTCGTCTATTTTAGTTGAACGCGGTTTGTGTGCATGTCTTCTACTCTTATGTTCTCGTGTTCGAATCTACCTCTTAAATTTATCAAAACTAATGTAAGTTAGCGCTATAATTCTATGAATTAATGTGAACGAATACATGGATCACATCTGCAAGTTGAGATCTATGAAGTATTTGGTGGCTTTATTTTTTTTTCTAGCCTCCAAAGTATACGATACTACAGTTTCAGAAACACTGCGAAATGCTTTTGAGAAACAATCGTTTCGCAACGTTTATTTTAGCAGATGTAGAACGCGTTAAACCGGCCAGCATTAACGCGTTTCACAGCTATGGAAAAACGCGTGTTCAGAACGCGTTTTTTTCCCAGAAATTTACACCATGGAGAATATGGTAGCAACGTTGGCTTTGCCTAGAGATACACTTTAATTCTAGTTGATACTTAGATCTTTTACATCAGGTAGGTCTCATTGAGATATGAAAATCATAAAAGAATACATTTCTTTAAATCTACTGTTGAGATGTGTAGGTGTTATACTGCGACTAAAGTCTATGATGTGGAGTATTTCTTACCAAACTGAATAATTGTTTTTCGAACTAAAACTATTAGACTATAAACAGATCTGTCAGAGAGAAACATAAGTTGAGAAGCTTTCTTACCTAACGTGCAAGAAATCTAAAGATGACTCATATTTCATAAAGAATGTGAGAATTTTTCTATTTTTCAAAATTTGAATATCTCGAAAAGAAAATATTTTTTGTCGAGATGAATTTGTAAACTGTTGGTCAGAGTGAGAAATCTGAATGTTCTACAATATCAAAGACATCTGAAATATATAAATAAAGTTCGGATGGCTCTGCAATAATCATTTGTTCTTATATTGTCAGAGCAAAGCTATTGTAGCTATCATAAAATCAATTTACTTTCCCACCGAAAAGGTATATCCTGTATCAACGATGAATCGTCAATGTGACCCAAGGAAACAAAAAACAAAATCGTCGGCGGCGCAGCTTGTCTATTCAATATTCGCCGAAAAGAAAAAGGCTGTGTTTATTGTTACACATGTATATAAATTCATGGACGACGGAAAAAACGACATTCTCGCTCAATATCATCATTGTTCAACTATATTAATTATGAAACGAACGAAACAACAAAACAATGACCTAGTTCAAATTTCAAATAGTAATAAAAAACGAAAATTAGAAAATCAAAGTAATATTTCACATTAATATATATTATATTTAATTTTTTGTCTTTTTGTGGTTTCAGTAAAAACGATCAATTCAAACAAGTTAGATATATTTCTTTTTGTCATATACATAAATAATAATTCTTTATAATATATTTGAATATCTTGATCCATATGATATTTATAAAGGTTTTTATAATCTTAATGAACGATCTCAAAATTTAGCTATTAATTCAAATGTTTTAACTAAAATCAACATTTCAACAATATCAATATCAAACTTCGAAGATTATTATCGAACTATTCTTCTACCAAATCGAAATCGAATTAATTTTCTTGATTTATCAAATCCATTTGCGGCTGATATTATTTTCTCACCACCAGATCATATTTTAAATTTTGTTCATCTTGAAACATTGATTATAGATAATGTAGAAAGTATTAGTTTTTACAAATTCTTTGATTATTTTATGAAATTACCTAATCTTCATTCATTAATTATATCTTTTGGCGAACGTATTTTGAAAATAGATTATCTTTTTGCTCAAATATTTCGTTTATCAAAATTAAAATATTGTAAAATTAAATATGAAATACAATATTATGAAGAATTATTTTATTCTTTTACTGAATATATTTCTAGTCCAATAGAGTATTTAATAATCAATGCTCCTTTTCCATTTAAAGCATTTCATAATTTGTTATGTTTTCTTCCTAAACTTCAACATTTATCAATTGGTTCTCTTCATTTGTTGGGTGATATTCACATCGAATATCAATTATCTCCTATTCAATTAAAATGTTTACGGCATGTTTCTATTTATTTTAGCATGATACATTTTAATGAATTTGAGAAAATTATCAAAGAGTTTTTTTTATCATGTGCAAATTTTACATCTTATGACATATTATACAGAAACATATTTAGATACTCAACGATGGCAAAAACTAATCATATATCATATGCCATATTTACGTGTGTTTGATATTAATTGTCAAGATTTTCTAGACTATGATATTTCATATCATGATGTTGTTACTGAATTTAATTCTTCTTTTTGGATTAAAAATAAATGTTTTTTTGAAAATCAATATGAATGGAACGATCAATCTTTTGGTGGAGTTATATATTCGTCTGGTCTATATCGGTAAATAGAAATTAATCTATGGTACCAAAAGGGATAGAACAGTGATGTCAAATCTTATTTTTCTTTGATACAAAAGAAAACTGTTAAAAGAAAGATTTTCTAGTTTCAAATTGTATAATTGTTTTAAACAAAAAAAAAAAGTTTAAACAATCATTCTGTAAAAAGAGAATATTTTCATTCCATTGAAAGTAATTATTCATTTTTCATCATAGATTATTCTTTATTTCATTTTTATTTAGAAGAAAAAAATATAAGTTTCATTGGAAAATAGATGAACTATTGGATTTGCATCATCAACAAGAAAATCTAAATTCAATCGAGCATATTCATATGAGAACTGATATAAAATCCAATTGTCGAAGATATTTTTCAAATGTTAATCGATTAACTATTGAAACGACTTTTAAAATATCAGATGGTGATTCATTTATAACAAATCTTAATCATATAGTTTCTTTAAAACAACTTACAAAATTAGTTATTAGAACTTTTGGTTTTAAATTCGAATATATTATTAAATTGATACTTTTAACACCGAACTTATACACATTAGAATTTTGTGAATCCTCTATGTGGACAATTGATTTAAATGTCATTAAACAAAATATACCTTTCCAATATACATTAACGGAAAATAAAATCGAAAATTTAGTCGTTCGTGGTAAATGTTCATTGAATCAAATTCAATTCATTGTTTATATATTTTCAAAATTAAAATACCTTAAAATTGGAATCAAAGAAACAGAAATTCGATCAGTAATTCGGTATTTATTATCAAAAACTCATAATAAAACACAATATTTATTTTATTTATGTATTTTATTGTCTCAAAAGAATTGGTTAGAAGAAGTAGACGATTTAATTAAATTAGACAATTTACTTAGCAATTACTCTATTAAATACATTCGGAACAATTTACATTTATGGTGGTAAAAACTTATTTGCTTACGACTTGTTTTATCTACTTGTTATATACCATCAGAAAAAAAATAGTTAGATTTTGTATTTCTCATATATTATCACAATAAAAATAATTTCTTTTGAAAAAGTAATTACGTATTTTGAAAGCAAGCAAAATTTTCTATCATCTTATATATTTATGTTTTATTTAGTACTTGTTCATTACCAAAATAAATTGAATGTAAGGAAAGCACTTTCATGTCTAGATTCTCACAGACTTTATTTTGTTACTGTCATCGAAAGTTTCTTTTTCAAAAAAACAGCAATTATAGATTGTAATGCAAGATGAAGTTCTCTATCATTCTATATATTCATTTTTTTATCATATTCATTTGTAGAAAGAAAAACTTGAAAACAGTGAACATGTGATCAATTGACAAGTATCCAAAATTGTTGTTTTTCTCTTTATTTTGTAAATATAGTTATTGTGAAAACAAAGAATGGTGGTGTATAAGGGCCATTCTTGGACCATCGTCAGTTTCCTTTCATTCATGACTTTTCTTGTGCAGAATTTCACGAGGAATAGTTTGATAATGAAATAAAGCTATTTTTGAAGGATCTAGACCAAGGGGGAAACAGCGTACTTTTGGATTTAAAGTTACTTGAAGTTACTTTAACGATACTTTAGACTACTTGAAAAATACTTTAAGACTACATGAAGTTATTTTCAGCTCCTTTGCTTTACTTTCCGCTACATTAGTGATACTTTGAGCTACTTTAGGTACTTTGAACTACTTCGAGAAACTTCGACTTACTTAAAGTTTTGATGATATGAATCCATGGGTGAATGTTCAACGTTATTACTTTATCTCTTTTAGTTTTTTGCCAACTATCAACACAACATTGAAGATCTCAATGATACAAGGCAAAAAATAGCGACTTTGGGGTGGGTGTGGGTGTTGATATGCTTCTCGCTGGCAACGACACCCACACCCACACATATACCCACACCACCCACACACCCACACCACACCCACACCCACCCACAGCCACACCACCCACACACCCACACCCACCCCCACACCTTTAGTTCAACTAACAAGCAGGATTTTTTCATACAGCGGTTAATAATTAGAATTTTTGTAATACAATCAGTGGAAAGTATATTTTCAAAAATTAAGCTCTGAAAAACATTTGTTAGCTGTTAAAATAAGCAATTATATATTTTTTAGGACCTTGATTAATGATTATGAGTGAGTTTCGGTTTTACTCCTGCTGCTGACACTTAATTTTTCATTTGAAATAAAAAAAAAAAGATAAAATTTGAATTTTCACACAGATTTCAAGACAGACACATATAGTTGTTTTTATCAAATACTGCATCAAGCACTTCAAACTTATTATAATTAAGTTATCAAGTAGGTGATTTCAAAAACATAAGAGATGATAACACATTGTACGAAAAATCTGAGGGTAACAGTAAAACAGAAGACATTAATAGTATTTTTAAATAATTTCTTGCTCATATGAAAGTTGCTACGTGTGAGGACCTGTTGAGATGGTTAAATAGATCATTTTCTACTAACATGTCAACGATTGTAAGCATAGGTCATTTGTCTCTTATAAATGGTCTCAAAAGTTTATATGTCCTTATCAAAATTATTGAACACTAATGATTTTCAAATCACCAGTTTTATATTCTCATATTCATCTGTATATTTTTTATTTAAAAGATGTTTTATGTTGCGAAAAGCGCTATGGAAATCGTGATACTTTAGTTAAGTTACTTCTGTTCTTTGATTCATATCACCGTAATGATCTGACTTGCGTTCTACACTCTTACCGCAAGTGCGAGATCAAATTTTTTCTTTGGAACTTAAGCGCTACAATTGAAGCTTATGATGAGTGTGTGAGTGATTGTTAAAAACTAGTTCGTATTGGTTTCTTGTAGTGAACATCTTCAAGTGCAAGATCATATTTGTTTCCATCAGCCACATACTCACACTCCTTTCCAAACACATAGAAAGAGTCATAAAACCATGCACCTTTCTCACGTTGATGACGCCAATATTTATAATGGATCACAACTCCCGAGTTCTCAAGCTAGATTCTTATCCTCAGCCAACTTATTGCGACAAGAATTAGACAGTGAAATCGTGTGATCGACTATATTTTAGAACAGACGGGGCTTAATGTAAATATCTTCTTGGAAATCTCACAAATATCTGCGTACTTCTCAGTTCACACAAACAAGCAAATATGGCACAAAACATCCATAGCTTATGCCATTACTTATAATTCTTTCTGAGACTAAGAATATAAAGAGTATATTGAATAAAGCTGGAGATAATTAGAAGAAAAAATCAAAATTGTGAAACAATTCTATTTAGAGATATGAAGATTGAATGGTAATCCATTTGATCAAGTCATTTCACAAGTCTAAAATAAAGCTTCACAAAGATGCGTTAATACATAAAAAGCGTTTGATCACATTAGAGTATTATAAGATTTTCTTCTTAGTACTCTCAAAACCGAGAAATAAAGTTGTCATTTCTGTTATTTTTGAATTTCATTGTAGGAAGCGTATTTTTAATCAAATTACCTTGTTAAACGATAACAATCTGTCTGTAGATTTATTCAATGATTCTAGTGCTCCTCCAATCTTATTATCGATTGTAAAAAGTATCATTTATTTCTTTATTTTCCCTTTATTTTTTAAAGATAAATAATTCATTTACATTTATTTTTTAAAAAATAAAGTGTTCCTTTATTTGTTTAAATTTATTTTTTAAAAATAAATGATCATTTATCTTTATTTTTTGAAAATAAAGGGTTCACTTATCTTTATTTTTTAACAGTAAAGGATTCATTTATCTTTATCGTTTATTATAAAGGAAAATAAAAATAAAGGGTCACCCCTAATTATAATTATGATTTAGTTTATTTGAATTTATCTTAATCGAAATCGATAAATTAATTTTTATTTCTCATCAATAGTTGCCATTGCTTATTATTCAATTATTTTTCTTTATGAAGATAAAATCTTTTATTCTGATATGTTTTCAATGATAAATGAAGTTTTTTTGTTGGTCTACGGATATGTTTAATTAGTAATAAAATTCTTACCGGATGATATGTTGCTTGTAAGGACAGAAAACTGGCATATAGAACCGATATATATTTACATGGACAAGATAATGTAGCCGTATGGTTAGCTTCAAGATGATTATATATATACATCAACTGATGGATTTTGTATCGTGATGAAAATATTTTTTCTACTGACAGAAGTTCCAATGATAATAATCAGCAATGATATTATCAAGAGAATTAAATAGAGTCGTGTTGTTAACAATTGATTACGTAATGTTCGATGATCGTTCTTATTCGGCTTATTTGATTCAATAAATAAATTCAGTTGAGAGAATTTTTTAATTAAATATTGAATAAATTTCACTGATCTAGTTGATAAATAAACATAATACGTAAAAGTAATCAAATAAAAATTCTTTGACTTGTCTAATTTTTTTTTGAATTGTCTATTCAGAATAATAATTTTTAATGTGAAGTTCATGAGTCCTCCAATTTTGACGAATAAATAACAACAAGTAATGTGAGAAAAGTAAGAACTCAACTACACATCTGACTTGTCATTTATTTTAGGAAAATAAGTTTCTTATTGATATTTAAGAAAGTCATATGGCCTTCATATTCTACATTTTAATCATAATTATTATTAAGAGAAAAACAATATTTCTATTTCATAAAAAAACAGACAACATTTTGAAAATAGAGTCACTTAAGAATATTTTTTATTACAAGGTATACAACAAAAAATATATAAACAACTATGAAAAACATCATTTAAGACTTGAACTAGCTAAATGATCAAAATAATATTCCCCTTATTTATTAGAATAAATAAGAAATATTCCGAAGAAATTGTCGAACAATTCCACGGATAATTTCGTTTATGTAAACGTACGATTTATCAACTGAAGAAACTAAAAAAGATCAAAAAAGATACTTTTTTTTGCTCATTCTACTTTGTCTAGTATGTCACAACCTACTCATCAGACTTTAGTTTTCTTATTGTTTTCAAATTTTTGTTTTCTAAAAACTAATAGAATTTAGTGTAATATGAATGGCTAAACAAACTTTACTATCATTTGTAGACGCAATAGAAACATTGATGGTAGTTAGCACAATGAAATTACTTTTTATTATTGATAATAATGCTAAATTGCAGTAGCTACTTTTTTTTTGTCTTAAAGAATAATTTTATGACAGATGGTTACTGTGATGAAATCGAAAGTGATGATATCACAAAACAGTAAGAATTTGTCGTCATATTAACCAGGAGAGATATCTTTCTTTCTATTCTATTTAATGTTTTTCCGTGATGAATTTTTAGTTTAATAAAATATTGAATTTATTGAGCAAGTTTAATAAAAACAAATATATCACTTGAAAACATGACTTATATTCTGAAAATTAGACTAAGAATATTTTCAGAAATAAACAACTAATTTTATTGTGATTGATTTGGTTTCATAGAGTAAATAAAAGAGTGCATCGTCATGACATGTAAAATAGTATGTATTCATGATTATTGATGTCGAAAAGTAGATTTACTAATTGATTTCATGATTCGAAAACTCTTTTATCAATGTCAATGTCAGAAAGTCCAAAAGACAATATCAAGTGTTTTTACATTTCGAGAATATTTTCTCTGATTTTCGTTATCGAGAATAAAATCTTATGTGAAAGATTCTATATATAATGATGGTCAATTTTTTTAAATATTGTATATACTTCAACTTCTCACAATTGCATCGAACAGTACTTTTTTCGGTATGAAGATATGTTTAAAAGGTCTAATGATACAAGGTGTTTTTTAAGTAACAACTTCCTTTTTGTTTTTTTTTTCTATCTTTATTGTAGTCACCCGTAAATAGATATTTAATATAGGACTCTTAAAAAGCGTCATCTGAGCTATCAATCAAAAATAAAATTGTATGAGATTCGCATGA